AGAGAAAGCCAACTTATAATGTTCTTACTGTCTTGTTTTCCACAAGATAGACTGAAAAAGACAATGCGAAGTCACTGTTCCTTGGTGTCTTATTTAAGACACTGACTATATGGATCATTCCATTGTGCTGATGGATTCCTTATTAGATATTTAGTATTTGGAGTTAGGGGAAATAGAGTGCCTTTTTACATAAATATGACTGCTGTGTTTAAGTAAAAATGTACCAGATTCAAAATTGGCAGACCTGAGTTCTACTCCTAGTTTTTCTACTAAATCAAACTCAGTGTTACTAGTCCTCAGTTTTCCTATTAAAGTGAGATTGAGGGCTGGCCCCGTGGCTCACTCAGGAGAGTGCGGTGCTGGTTGTGCTGAGGCCGCGGGCTTGGATCATATATAGGGATGGTCGGTGTGCTCACTGGCTGAGCGTGGTGCAGGCAACACCGAGCCAGGGGTTACGATCTCTTTACCGGTCATAAAAAAAAAGTGAGATTGAACTGGATGGTATATGCCCTCACGTAGCATGAACATTCTAGGTAAGTTAAAATCACTGACAGAATGATCCTATTAGTGAGTATTTGTGTTATGTTGCCTCTTGTTAAAATCTCTTTCTGTTTGTTGTTGTAAAGAACAATATAGATATTTGTCCTGAATGTGGCCACCTGAAACAGAAACACGTACTTTGCGGCTATTGCTATGAGAAGGTGCGCAAGGAGACTGCAGAAATCAGACGACAGATAGGGAAACAAGAAGGGGGACCTTTTAAGGCTCCCACCGTAGAGACTATGGTGCTGTACACGGGAGAGACACTATCTGAACAGGATCAGGGAAAGAGGATCATTGAACGAGACAGGAAGCGACCATCCTGGTTTACCCAGAATTGACACCAAAGATGTTTAAAGAAGATAACTTCACAGTAAAACATTTCGCCTGAAAGAGGAAAATTCTTTGTTTCCATGTTGTTGCTGTGCTTCTTTTTAAATCATAAATGTAGTTTAAGCTATTCCTTCCTTATAAGTAGTTAGGTTTGTGTGGGATAATTTGAAGAATATATCATGAGTAAATTCTGAAAATGTTTGTTTATGCAAAGGCTCAGTGGATTAATATATCTGTTTCTACCACACTATAAGGTTTTAAATAAACATAAAATTTGCAGAATAATAATAAATCAAAAGATTTAAAATTCAAACCAAGAATTGTATGTTTTGGTTCTGGTTTTGTTTGCCAGTGGTTTTTCTTAAATAAAAATATTTAACCCAAATATTTTCATTTAAGTAACATGTGGAAATAGACTATTATATGAATTCTTGGTATTTTTTTTTTAAAGATGATAGTTGTGGCAATAAGAAAACATTTTGTTCTATTATTTTGTTTTAGCAAATTAAAATTGCCTTTGTAGGAATTTACTTTATATGGAAAATATTATGCTGATTTACTTAGATGATAGAAATAGTTTTTTACATTTTACATTAAAACAAAATGACATTCAGAATCCATTAGATATCTCTTGAGATTTGTATTCTGCAGTTTTGGGAGAGAGGTTTTTAGCAAAGAGATAAAAGCAAATTCCATGGTACACAGAAAATATGCTAAGAATACTGTCTTTGCATTTTCCCTCTAGTATATCCTTTTAGTTTATTTTACATTTTATCATATTTATCTCCTTATAGCAATAGCCTCTTTAAGTTTTAACTTCCTGCAATTCATTTCTCATTTTCTTCTCCCTCTCTCACTTTTGTGTCCACCTTGAGCCCAAGTTTTGCTATTTTGTTTCCTACATCATTGAAAATTTTTAAAAGTGAGAAAGCTTATTAAAACATGTAGTGATTAGGGCCGGCCTGGTGACGCACTGCTACAGTGCGCCTCTTGGGGGCGCGGCGGCGCTCCCGCCGAGGGTTCGGATCCCACATACAGACCGGTTCCCGCTCACTGGCTGAGCGAGGTGCGGGTGCAGCCGAGGGTTGCGATCCCGTTGCCGGTCCCGGTCCGGTGCAGGTGCGACACTGAGGGTTGCGATCCGTTGCCGGACACGAAAAAAAAAAAAAAACATGTAGTGATTAGCACGTTAGAGAATTATATAGTTAAAGGGAAAATCAGGAGACAAAATAAGATAAAGACTAGGGATGTATTTAAAACAAAATGGGGCTGGCTCGTTAGCTCACGTGGCAGAGTGTAATGCTGGAACTGCATCTACTCAGTATCGCCAGGTGACTAATAGGTTGCAAAGTGTACCTCTAGGTAACAAATTGTCCTTTCATATTATGAACTGAATGTGTTCCCTCAAAATTCATATGTTGAAATCCTAACCCCCAGTGTGATGGTATTAGGAAGTGGGGCATATTTAGGTCATGGGGACAGAGCCCTCATGATGGGATTAATGCTCTCATAGGAAGAGACACAAGAGCTTGTGCGCTCCTCTCTGCCATATGAGGATACAAGAAGAAGGCCATTTGCAAACCAAGAAGCAGGTCCTTTCCAGAACCAAANAAGTGGGGCATATTTAGGTCATGGGGACAGAGCCCTCATGATGGGATTAATGCTCTCATAGGAAGAGACACAAGAGCTTGTGCGCTCCTCTCTGCCATATGAGGATACAAGAAGAAGGCCATTTGCAAACCAAGAAGCAGGTCCTTTCCAGAACCAAATCTGCTGGCACCTTGATCTTGGACTTTCCAGCATCCAGCACTGCAAGAAGACTTATTTAAGCCACCCAGTCTGTGGTAATTTGTTATAGCAGCCCAAGGGGACATAGAAGGTTCTACATGCAAGTGGACCTAGTGAGAGTATGGGCAGGGTCACTGTTTTCTGTTTTATATTCATGGACTGATAAACTGGTTATAAAATACATATCCTAATTAGGCAATTTAGATAGCAAAACCAGATGTCTAGTTCAAGTCAGAAAGCACTGTCATAAAAGAGGAGTGCTTGTCAGTTTTCTAAGGGGTTGTCCCCTCAAAGTTATAATTTTATTACTTTTATACTTCCAGTTTTT